GACGACGTCGTTCTGTCTCTACTGTGAAAGTTTGTCAATTTACGTACGGATTGCCAATCAAAATTCATTTTCTTCAAGAACAATTAGGCCGTGTTACAAACCGGACCCTTGACCATTAACCAATTTGGTTCCTAAACCGAAAACAACGTTAACTTCTGCAGTAGCTAAACATAGAAGGTGAGAAGCCTAGTGATTAAAATCCAGGAAGCTAATCATCGACCACAAGCTTCCTGTCTACGCTTGAGAAAGACCGATAAAACGCCTTGAAATGTCTGTACGCAATGTCTATATCGCCTGTTCCACAAATTTCTCTCACACTGTTTCACAAGTAACACGTTCCAAAAACCAGGAAGCTGACTGTAAGGTAGTTTGATTTGGAAGCATGATCAAATATTTGTTAGAATGTGAGTTATTAATATACCTATGCATGGAAAGCTGAGCTATGCCACAATCAACAGTACGAATCCCGACTCCTGAAGCCAATATAGGTCCTATTGTTGAGCCACATCCCATATCGTTTCTCACCACAAACTCCTGCAAGAATAGTGAAAATCTTATTGTCTGTATACCATTCTAATAGCGTAGAGCATCTAGCATATTTATGATATGTAGATTGCAGGAACCACAGAGAAACAGCTTCCAACATCTGAACACAAGGATGATGTAGACAGAGACGTAAACTTTTCCCTTTATGTTGTTTACTTAAAATTGAGAAGATCACCTAACCTGAATTGGAAGATCATGGAGCTTTGCTACTTCTTTGAAAAGAAATGAAGTGATCCCACTGGTTGCATATCGTTGGTTTGCGTTATGTTTGATAACCAGACCTTTGTGTATTTGAGGACGGTGATTCTCTTCATGCTTCTCTGCAAAGTTTGGGTGAACCCCATGAGCCATATCTGCAGACACTGCAACCACAAGAATACATACACAAGTTTCAGTAGAAGATTAAAAAAAAACTTCCCAAAATCTCTACGACTGTCTTGTGAAAATTCCAGAGACTACATACGCATAATTAACTGGAAAGTAGCAGATGCGTACCAAGAAAAGATTTCCGGATAGCACGGTCAAAGGTACACTCGGTGACCTGGTCGTTGCCTAGGGAACTCACAATCCGTCTCATTGCTTGAAACATAGTGGGTGCTCCTGCACCTTGGCATGAATCTGAACCTACCTATTGAAACAAAACATTTTTAAGATGACTTTCAACAATTACTTGGCAGAAATATCTAGCACTTCATTAGCTCAAAGCAAAAAAGTTTTGGAAGGTGAATGCAAGTCCTCTTTATTCAACAATTATCGGGCCAATAATGCGGTTAATGGGTTTATAAACTGAAGCAATCTGAAGAATATCTGATAGGAAAAAGGGTACCTCCTCGTTGTCAAATAAAGCTATCATCCTAATATTATGTTCATTCGACAGGCTTTCCGATGATTCACATGAATCAATGAGAGCTCTCAAAGCACAGAAACTTGATGCAAGATTATCTAATCTCCCCGAGAATATGAACTCGTTCTTTGCTCCTCCAAGGCAGCTAGGTTGGGTGTCACAGATATTTAACTCAAGACTCACTATGTCCTCAACCTTACAGTCCAGGTCATCTGACAAGATCTGCAACACAATCAGGAAGCTTTGAGATATTTGTGGATTTAACGGTTAGCATCAGACATTCAGCGGAAATAAGTGGTGATGATAATAGGAAGTCAAAATATTGGTAATGAAATAACTTCATAGCAACACCGAGTCCATAGTCTTGGTAATTTCTCACTAATCAATAACGCAAATGATGAAGAGGACTAACTCTAGCTAATAACCTAGTTATATCATACTGTACCTGCATGAGTAATGGATGATGAGCATCTTTGGAAGATGGAGATACATTTTTGTCCTTCGACTCTGCTGATGTTTCATCTGGTTTCGTTGCCAGTAGCGGAACAAGTTGGGTCTCCAAATTCGGTTTAAATCCATCACTGTTCACTGTGCTAAAACAACACAAGAAGAGCAAAACAACATGAGTGAGCTTCAAAAGTAATACATACTTTCACTTGAAAGCAAATGCATTAGTCTAAAATCCAACTAGAACAACTTCATAAAAGAAGTTTACCGATCAAGATGAATGGCCAAAGTAGGCACTCGTAGCAACGGCCTTTTCACTTTGACAAGCCTATGAACAAACGAACCATCGCTGGCTCTCACAATTGCTCTCCCCGCAACACTCAAGTCTCGATCAAACCATGTATGCCACAAACCACCTCCATAAGTCTGAACATTCACCATTAAATAACCAGACTTGGACGAAGCTGACTTTGGTTTAAGTTTAAGACACGGACTATCGGTGTGAGCAGCTATGGCATGAAAACCATTAGCAGGAACATACCTACAAAATCAGGAACAAATGTAGGTTCCCTGAACCTCAACAAATAAGGAATCTAATAAAAAATAAGGATTTTTGTGAAGAACCCTTCAATTATCAAAGCAGGATTCACTGTTCTACTAATGAACATCACTCGCAGACATAAACGAATCGAAAAAAAAACTCACTTTTCTCCGACAGCAAAAGCAACCAAACAAGACATGTTTCGTGTAAAGAAGTAACGACCACCAGGTTTGAGCTTCCAGTCGTCGTTTTCACTAAGGAGATCAAAGCCAGCAGCCAAAAGCTGTCTCTTTGCCTCAGCTGCAAGATCAAAATCAGAGTCAATTGAATACCTAACATAAACAAATTCAAATTGGGTTTCTCAATGGGACTTACCAGTGGCGTGAAACTGTGTCCAGGATTCATTAAGATAATCGATAAGATCTCCGACGATTGACGCATTGGAATCATTCCCCAACGATTTCGAATCACCCTGA